CCGGTGTTCCCTAATATAAAGGGTCCAGTTTATGCATACAGCTGGTGGAGTAACCGTGGGGGCGCTGCTAAAGGACGCCACAAAGCCTAGTGTTTTATGGGTAGCTGTGAAGCAGAGTTACGGTATTTGCAAAGTACCATGTGGTTCCGACATTTTTGCTGGAACGGATCAAGGACTTCCAGTTGGAGCAGTACCCGCTATCATTGGGGGTACGAACAACATCGACCGAATTTTGCGGAGTATTTTGGGTACATGGAGCGGAGGGAGAGCAGTAGCTGTTTCAGTTCTTCCTGAATATTTCGGCGTGTACGGACAAAGAAGCTGATGCAGCTGGCGTCATTCGACCCTGGGTTCCATTCGAGGTTTTTCATTGGAGTGGTTCAGTACAGATGACAGGTCATCGCCATCGTCGACTTCCTCTCGCCACTATCCGCTACTACCTCCACCCTCAATTCACCAGATTGTGTGAACACGACCCCGCCTTGCCATCCGAATCGAAGACAACACTGTCGGATTTACAAGAGATTTGGCAGCTGAGGGTATCTACTGGTGAGGACTTTTGAAGTTCATGTGGGAGTCTTCTGGAGCAGTAGTTGCGGCATTTTAAGACCTTTGACACGGTTTACCCTGAAGACAATTTACCTGGAGCGGATTTTGGAGTCATCATGATTCATATTTTCAGTGGCTGGGATACCTTTCAACGGCATGTTCGATGCAGAGTTATGGGATTTTAAGCAGCGGTGTGGGATTATTTCGACTACCCTGGAGCTTTGGGTTTTCCTTGAGGTTTCCCTAGGAAGTTGGGAGCTGTTTCTTCTTGGAGGGGGGGAGAAGTACAGCTGTGCTGCAAAATTTCGAAGACCCTTCCACCGTGTTCCATCATCCATATTCGACCGCCATTCGTCACCGTTACGCATCCACGCCTGATCTCGTCACTTCGTTGATGGAGTTCGCTGACTTTCGTGGGACACGGACGCGTGATCTTGCATGTGACACGAACGAACTCGCGCGTTGATGAACATGTCTCGTCATCCAACAATCCACGTCTTTCGGCATCCATCATTACATAAGATATTCATCAAGCAAGTGTCATCATCAATCACCCATATGACAGATTTACTGTTTACCGTCTTCCACTGGAGTATTTACCCTTGCCTGTCGGTCAGCTGAAGAACTCGACATTTCTTCGACGGCCACGATTAAAAGCGATCGTTTCGACGCTTTCTGACCCTCGATTGCATTTTGTCCTAAAGACCTCGTCAGGCCGGCGTAATCATTATGCTCGTCAGAGGGCTGAAGATCTACAATGACATCGGGGATTAATTTTAATGACTGTTCGGCCTCGATAAAGGGAGTGCCTTTCTTTAGAAGGTGGGAGAGTGTAAGGAATTACCATTCCTCTTTGGGTCCGCAACCTCGGCCCTCGGTTCTCGCACCAAACCAGCCCCCGTCGACCTATTCGGTCCCCAACCTGATCCCGAGTCGCCCCGAACCCATTTGACCCCGTCACCCTCGGGACTCTCGAGCCCTTGACCAGTCCAACCCTCAACATTCAACCCTGGTCAATCGCCCTATATATTGCCTAGGCCTCATTTCTATCAACATGCTGTAATCACGTTCCCCATATTGAATACTGTGCTATACTCTGAGGTATAATTCATCACAGTTAGTATATCCTAGCTATGTCAAATCTTAGAGGGGACAACTATTTGTACTTGTATCTCCCCTCCCCTCTTCCTAGTGACAATTTTCTCGTGCTATTCCAACAAGGTGGTGATGTCGATGCGGTTTCCAAGGTTGCGCTTGAATTGAGCAAGAAGCTCAAGGCTCGAGCCGGTGTAGAGGTCATCGGCGATGTACTATAGGTGGTGAGGAGGAAATACTGTAGTCGCCACGGAAATGGAGGCGGTACATTCCTGGGTCATGAGGGATCTGGGTGAAGCCGATTTCAATGAGGATGCCATGAAGGTTTTGCTGCTAGAGTCGCGGTGCCTGCTGTAGAGAGACTTTTGCAGTTGGCACACATGTGAGTCCTCATCACCGTACGTATGGGGTTGTTGGACGCCGATGAGAGCATTGACTTTGGCATAGAGGAAGGCGTTCTTCATGCCGATTTGGTGTAGGGGGGGGTTCTTGGCGGCAGTGACGTGGGGGAGAATGTGGACGGAGGTGTGATTGCTGACTATCGCGAACGTCGGGCCGAAGTCGATGCCGTAGCATACTGTAGATCGTGGTCGCAGACAACACAGCGAACCTTGTAACGTTCGATAGATCCGTCCACTTTGGCATTCACTCGGTAGACCTATTTACTAAAGAGGATCCTTTTACCCTTCAATGCTGCATGATCAACACGGATCCGTGTGTTGCGAGAACGAAGTCCAAGGAGCTTATCATTGCAATCTTCTCCGTTTTGACGAGTGTCGACCGCCAAGCTATGGCGCAGAGTGTTGTGAGAGGGGTCGAGTGGTGCATCCATGTCCTCGTCGTCATCCGAGAACCTCATATTAGGTTCGGGTGTTCGTCATGTGTGTCAAGCGCTGTTGTGGCTACTTCTTCAGCGATAAAAAAATTACGCTCTGCACGTGCATATGAGGCTCTCAAAGAAGAGAATGTCTTGGTTCCTTGGATGTCCGATAGTTGAGAGTGTTCCACGTCTTGTGCTTGAGTTTGATTTTGAGGTGCACCTCCCAGCATGCGCTGCTCTTGAACTTGCTTGTCGTTGCCGCGTAGGGTCGGTACTAGACCATACACCCCCATACACGGAGCATTGTGGTGTCCCCAAGCTTTTTGGTCCACTTCACATGAGGGGAGAGATTCCCCTCATTTGTCGTGGTTGAGCGCATATTGTGTGCACAGACCGCCTGGTGCATGGCGCAGGGCCAGTTGATAGTGGGCAGGTCAGACTACTGCGTCATGGGCCGCACTTTGGTCATCAGGGTATGGTTGGCCTGCTCGGTGATGCCCTGCTATCAGTGAGTCTACGGCAAGGACATGTGATGCTCAATGCCGAGCTCTTGCAGGTAAGTTTGGAGCTGCTCGTTCCGGAATTGTCGCGCGCCATCCACCTGCCAGCATTTCAACTTCGGCTTGACTACCATTCTACGTGGCTAAGCCATGGGTTCATAGACCCTACCTCATAGACCCTATCTCATAGACCATGCCTCGAGTTTCTATATTCGCTGCTGAAGGTGAGCACAGGGAGCTCATTTTAGAAACCGGTATGTGTGAAAACCAGGAAGTTGCTCTAGGCTTTGTCGAGTTGGTCGTAGCGATTCTCCCCAGGTTGGAGCAGCAGGAAGAGCTGATGTGTTAGAGAAGCTTTGGGGCATATGGTGCAGACATGTGGCTCATTGCTAGGTGTGAGCTCTGAGCCGTAGTAGTGGAGACAAGCTCCTGGAGCGAAGACACCGGCACTCAGTAAATTTTTTAGGGTAGCCTTGGGACTGATGCCAGATGTTGTCTGGGGCATGGTGGCCGGTGAAGTGGAGGTAGTGGGCGTGAGACTCCTCAGGGCTTTTAGCACGCTCCTCTTCTAGCGTGGTGACAGAGGAGATAGAGAAATCGAGGGTGAATAATTCGCGGTCGAAGGTGCTTGGGGTAGCTGTAGCTTCGCCTAGAGAAGATTTGGTGATTTCCTCATGAGGGGTTGTTGAGCGAGGAAGGTGTGATCAAGGAGGGTCGTATGCTTCGACGATATCCGCGATGGACATGCTCTTCTTCACCTCTTCCTCTTCTTCTTCTTCCTCTGCTCTGATATGTGTGGACTCCATATGAGGGCTATGAGGGGTATGTGAAGGATGGTAGGAGGCCTAGTTTCCCCAATTAGGCCCCAATGAAATGCATTCATATTCAGCATAGGTGCCTGGTCGCTAAGGGGGACGCCCAAGAGGAACATCTGTACTCCCCCCACCCCCGTCCCCTTCGGCGTCTCCGTCTCCATGCCAGAGCCGGGATTAAGCATGTGCCATTCCGTGATTGGGTTACTGACCCACTATGGTGGAGCTCTCATCTACTGGTTGGTTTCAGCAGCTTCACCCCAATCAATTGTCATTCTTGTCGTTCTCCTCATCAGTAGGTTGCCCCAGTTCCCTTGGACTGGATGGGTATCCCACCTAGGACAATAAAATGGCTGCAAAATAGGGGTTACAGCGTCGCCTATGATGGCTACTGCTGCGGTTGCTCCCTCTGCTGCTGCATCCTCTGTTGCTGCTTCGACTAGTTTGTGCCATTTAAGATTGAAGAGCACGTGAGTCAATCAAGTCATAGGGCATGGCTCATCCAGTTGCGAATGCAAGGAGCGGCTAGGAGTTACTAGGGGCGGCTAGGGGCGGCACGGAACGACTTAGCTAGGGGCGGAAGTGTGGTACATGGGACCCAGTTCGCGCTGGCCCCCATTCGAGCCGGCCCCAGTTCGAGCCGGCCCCAGTTCGCGCTGGCCCCTGTTCCTGCGGGCCCCAGCTCCCACGGTCTCTGCTTGTCGTCGTGTCGCCGTGAGTCGTGTGACGCAGTTGCGGAGCTTGCTATCAGTCGCGCCCTCCCCTTGTCTGAGCGCCCCCACTACCAGGCCCTAGAGTCTGCGAAGGAGTACTTAGATGTCGTCATTGCGCGCTATTCAACTGCCTCCGCCGCCGCTGCCAGCCGTCTTCTTCTCCCCCTGCTCTTCCCTGGCATTGCGTCCTTTCCCACTGTCGCTGATCTCCCCACTCACCTGCGTGCACTAGAGGCTAGCTACCGCGCTGCTAGCATTGAGGCTCAGCTCCTTGTACTGCCTCCCCCCCTCGGCGCTACCCTCTACTTCCTTGCCACGTGCCTTCCTGACCACCTAGCCACTGCCCGCAACCACTTCCTTGGCCTCCACCCCGCTGACCTCACCCTCGCTGATTTTGTCACTACCCAGTCCTCGATAGAGACCCGCCAGCGCACTATCGCTCAGTCGAGCGGAATTGTGGCGGTCCCTATCTTCCAAAGCTGTGCTCTTTCCCAGTGCACTTACTCTGACGTCTCTGCCGCTGTTGCTGAGACAGCCTCTGCTGCTGAGACCGCTGTGGCAGCCTCAGCACAATCTCGTCAAGGTAGGGGAAACCAGGCCTGGAAAGGGCGTGGCGGCGGGAGGGGTGGCGGCGGTAGCAGGGGTGGCGAAGGTGGCAGTGGTGGTGGAGGGGACGGTGGTGCAGACGAAGGGACCGGGACTGGTGCCCCGGCGCAGCAGCAGGAGCAGCAGCAGGAGCAGCAGCAGGAGCAGCAGCCCCAGCAATAGCAGCAGCAGCAGTAGTCGCAGCAGCAGCAGCCGTGGGCACCCCCACCGCTGTGGTGGCCTGGAGGCTCTGGTGGTGGTGGTCGTGGAAGTGGGCCACGCAGCTCGGTGTCGGGTGGCGGCTCCAGTGCAATGACCTGCCAGTTCCAGCTTAGGTCCGACCCACGCCGCGGCACCGTCTGCGACCGTCCCGGTCACTCCGCCGTTCGCTGCTTCCGCCGCCTCGAGGACCCCTTCGGTCTCTGATACGACCCTGCGTCGGACCCCCCGACTGGCACAACCTGCTATGTCGCAGTGTGCTGGTCTTTGAGATGGATATGGATCAGATTTGCTTTGCTATGTATGACATGTATGCTGATGACTCTAGTGCAACTAGACCTTATTACCCTGTGTTGCCTAGTGTAGGTGTGCCCTCAGTGTGTATTCTAGGCTCCCCTGCTGTGTCAAGCGTAGGACCTCCTACTTTGTTTAGCCTAGGCTCCACGCTAGCCCTTCCGCCGGCTGAAGCTACCATTGCGCTCACTTTCACGCTAAACTCTGGTGCATCCGCCTGCTTCTTTCGCGACCACACTGCGCTCACACCGCTTGCCGCCCCTGCAGCTGTCGCGCTTGCTGACCCCTCCTCAGGTCCGGTAGTTGCACGTAGCTCCACCATTCTTTCCTGTTCGGCAGTTCCATCGGGCTCTCTTACAGGCCTACACATCCCCTCGTTCTCCAGGAACCTAGTTGGTGTCGGCTGTCTTCAGGACCTCGGCGTCACCACTACGTTCCTCGGACATGAGCAGTACGTGGTTTGTACCGAGGCCGCCACTGGTGCCCCTCTCACCACGTTCCCTAGGGACCCGGTGTCTGGCTTGTTTACGCTTGACAGCGTGTCCCCCCCGGTTGGAGCGTCTCCCCAGGTTGCCGCGCCCTCCCAGGTCGCTGCGGCTTGAACGTGTCAGTCGCTCAATCAACCGTCGCTTCTATGGCACCACCGTCAAGGTCACCCCACACTCCGCGTCTGCGTCACATGTCCCAGCACAGTTTTGTCTTAGGTCTCCCTTCATCGCTCCGTGCTCTCCCTCCCTCACAAGCACTGCCGTGCACGCCCTGCATCAAGGGTCGGTTGCACCATGCTCCTCACTCCTCCTCGCTTCCCCTACCACTGCGTCACTCCAACCCCTGTCCCTGGGTCGCGTCGAGAGCGCTACTTTCTAGTGCTTATCGACGACTACACGCGCTACACCACGGTGTTTCCCGTGGAGCGGAAGGCCAACATGGCTGACGTTCTTATCCCGTGGGTCATAGCTACGCGACTCCACCACTATCTCCCTGTGCTGCGTCTTCACTCCGATCGTGGTGGCGAGTTCGCCTCCGGTCGGCTTGGGCAGTTCTGTCGTGCGGAGGGCATCACCGAGTCATACACCCTGCCGGACTCGCTGCACCAAAATGGGGTCGCTGAGTGACGCATCGGTTTGATCATGGAGGTGGCTCGTACCTCCATGATCCATGCTGGTGCACCCCCATTTTCTGTGGCCGTTCGCTGTTCGCTACGCCGCTCACCACCTTAACTTGTGGCCACACTCCCAGCGGCCGCAGGTTTTGCTGTCCCTCCTCTGGATTGGGTCCCCTGGTGATGCATCTGCATTTCATGTTTAGGGCTGCCTCGCTCACGTTTGTGCCTCTGGCACGGACAAGCTCACTACCCGCACTGTCCCTTGTGTCTTCCTTGGCTTTCCCCAAGACGAGTCTGACTGGCACATTTACCACCCGCCGTTTCACCACTTCTTTTACTCTCATGACGATACTTTTGACAAGTCTGTCTCCTGCTACACGCGCTTTCCCCACCAAGGTCTCCCGGTTACCCCGCCCTTGTTTCTGGTTCCCACTCCCCCGGTAGCCCCTGCTCTTCTCCCTTCCCATCCTGCCTCATCTGGTGTGTCTCACGTCACTCCCCTCCATCGGTTGTCCCGGTGGAGGAGTCGGTTGCCCTTCGCCTCCTCAGCCTTCCCTATCACAGGATCGAATGTGTCGAGGAAAGGTTTGCTCAATGTTGCCCTATCAATCAGTACAAGGTGCTTTTATACTTCCAGAGTACATCAGGTAACAAGGTTTATCCTATCCAAAAGAAATAGACCCTTCTAGAAATAGAATCACCATGCGTATAGCCACGCGAGGCTATTGGCTTTAAGGGATTATGACAGGATTACGCTAGATATAGCGCACCAGTACATCCCGAGCCTGGTCGGTGATATAATTATAATAACAGGATAAACCAAAGGATAATGGAAATGATGAATAGAAAACCAAATGAGATGGGATAAAGACCAAATGAATGAGGATAAAAAGAGGAATGAAATAGAAAGGAAATATGGAAAGGGGAATTTGGTGTAACGGGGTCGTACTCTCACACTTCCCCCCTCAAAGCTGGGTGGTAGACGTAACACCCTGCTTGACAAGGTTGTCGCAAAGAGGACGACGGGCGTTACCCATGTCTAGTTCAGAGACGCAGCATCAGAAGGATCTAAACCCTTCCATCAAACAAGAAGCTCCAGAGTGCCATTCTGACGACGACAGTGTCCGAGCATGTAGTTGTCCCATATCGTGGATGTCCACGGGTGGCGTCGGTGGTTGGCATTCGGTGTAGAGCTTGTTGGTCTTGATAGGGTTTAAGAAGCTGGTATGGAAGGCGTTATGGATCTTCCAAGTGGCAGGTTGGCGGAAGCGAAAGTTTGACTGAAGTGACCTTTGCTTCAATAAGGATAGACCTGCAGAAGCAAGGTTGAAGCTTGGATGGAAGATGGCTGATGTCGAGATGATGGTGTGGATAACTGTGGTAATGAGCAGCCAGGTGCTTCTGCTGCTGCTGGATGTCCAAGTGGCGTGTCCGGTGTTAGAGCTGATGGACAACGGTGATGAAATGGATTTGTGGGTTGTTGTGGTGTGAGCGGGTTGCGTCTGTAGGTGGTACGCGGATGGCGTTGGTCGTGATCGAGATGTTGTAGCGGAAGAGTAGATGTACTGTCCTTTCGGTGGGTGCTCTAGCTGGCATATTGTACCATGCGTTGAGTCTCGGTAGCACATCCTGGTGTTACTCGCATCCCGTCCACGTATGAAGACGACCAAGTGTTGGTGGTGTTGCAGTCGTGTCATAGTCCTGTTTCTGTAGTAGTGTTGTATCCGTTACATGCAGCTTCTGTCGAATGTTGGTCCATGCCGTAGTGTTGTCGCAAGTTGTACACTCTCGGCATCGGAGTGCTGCGGGATTGGAGAGCAGAATCACTAGTAGTAACCCTGTCCACCACGCGGTTTGCTAGTCACACTGCCTTGAGTACAACAGTGCATGCGAAGTGTTCCTCAGCGTATCCCTTGTGTTCAGAACCATGCGAGGGGTTAGTACCACAAACGCGGAGCTGGTAACTTCCAGAATCGGCGCCAAGGTAGTTTCCCTCGGTGGTTTCTCAAGCAAGGAGTCTCTGCTGCGTAGATATTCCACGGTGATGGGTTAAGACATCTGGGAATGTTATGGGTATTCCCAAGTAATCCTTTCCCACTTCCAAATAGGCATTAGTGACAGCCAATCCAGTATCACCTTATGCACTTCCAGTTTAGCACAGAGGCCATCGGTAGGCATCGGTGTCTGGGCGCACATATTGGGATAGGTCTTCTGGTGCCATCATGTGTTGTCTCATTCTGTTACTGTCCTTGAAGTAGCGTTGATGTCGAACACGTCTTAGCTACTCAGCATCTTGATGTCGAAGATGTCTTAGCTACTCAGCATCGGTGTTGAAGTCTACTCCATTTCGGCAAACAGGGGTGTTATTGGAGATACGCGGAGTCCACTATCCGGAGTGGCGTCGGCGCTCCATTCCACGCCTATCTGCTTCCGTGGAGGTGGTGCTGGTGATGGATTGGTTGCGACGCAGGTTTTATGACTTTAAGGAAAGCCATAGGCCATGAGGACTTGTACATCGGTAGAGTACCGTAGTCCTTCCATCCTCATAAGAGCAAAGATCTCCTGCTCTTGAGGGTATATGGCATTGCCATGTTGTTTCCTCGCATAGTGGTATCTCCTCCCCACTAGCTGGAAATCATAGTATTGTGCCTGGCCGGGACTTTACCATCCACTGGAATGTAATCCAGCATTATCTCCATTGAGTGGAGAATCATCCATCAGGGTTTGGATATGACTGTTGTGTCGAGTCTTCTGCTGAGGCGGCGGCGGCGGTTGCGACGATGGCGACGGTGGCAGCTGCTGCTGAGAATTCTCTTAACTCGTAATGGTTGAAGGAGAATCCATCAACTCCCTCTTCCCAGTAGAGTGTTCCTGATGGGTGTAACAGGCGTAACTACCAGGAACACGTGCACATTAGTACACATGTGTTGCCCATTGCTGCCGGTGATGTTTCATTGAGGGTATGAAGAGAAATTGCTTCTCCCCTCAATGTATCCACGGGTAGCAATTCCTGGTATGCTCATCCGTGCCTCCGATGTACGGTCGGTAGAGCACGTGATCGTGTTGTAGTAGTCCGCATCTCCCTCATTTGTTGACACCTCGTGTTGCTTGGCGTTCTCCTGCATCGTCGAAGTTACGCTAATGCTTGTAACGCTTCGGCTTCTAGTAGAATCGCCTCCAATGCATGTGTCGTAGGGTCGCTAGTGAGCGAGTACTTGCCAGATTAGAAGTTAATTACTCCTCAATCTGTCAAGCATCGTGACGTGCACGGAATTTTTTTCCACGCAGGTCATTAACACCTGGAATCGGCGACGCATGATTGGTGTGTCGCCTCGTAAGGTTGATGTTGAGACTGCTCCAATCAATCACTTCGGATGGCTGAGATTCTTGATGAAGACGAATCGTTCAGCTCCTGTTACGAAGTAGTGTCTCGCTGGCCTTGACGAGACGGGTTCACTGCGTCGTCGTTGCGTGCGAAATCTGCTCCTTCGCAGCAACTTGAACTTGGGAGCATTGCAAGAGAAAACGGCTACTTCTCTGCAATCCCATAGGTTGTCGATCAATTTGAGATGAAGTGTCTCATGGATGGAGAACATGTCTTCACGCAGCTCCATTGTTTTTCCTGGGTGAAGATCTCGCTGTGTTGATGTCGATCCATTTTTAACGAAGATGACTTCGTCAAAATAAATCGATCGTTATCGACAGTCAGAAGATGCGTCGATT